CGTGTAGGGTGGACGATTGACGATTGGATCGGTTCCGTTTAATCGGATCCGGTTAATTCGGATTGGGATATTTCAGGTTTGAAATATTCGTATCCAATCGGATATATAATTTTAATCGATTCGATTCGAATTCGGATTTGGTCGATCAGGTTCGGATTTATCTTAGATAAATTATCAATTGCATAATTTTCTCTAAAGGATAAAAAGACAAATTATTATACAATCAATCCCCACTGTCTGGGATGTAAAAATCTGCCATTTAGAATAAATTCACAACAAGCAACAACGCATCACCATAAATGAATGCAAATGTTTGCAAACCCAAACGCTACACTTTTCAACCGAACGAATGTTGATAAAAAACCAAAGAAAATCACAACGCACAAAACATCTTGAACACTAAAAGTTTCCCCCTTCATTCTTTCCCCACCAAAACGAGAGAAGATCCCCCATTCCCAACTAAAAGCACACAATCATCGGACGAAAAATCCGGAAACCATTCAAGAAAGCCGTAGATCGACACGAACCAAAAATACAACAACGATAAACTTCTCGATCAACACTACGTTTGTAACAAATCACAGGTCCGAGAAACTGTCAAAAAATACAGGAGAAACTCTACGTCAGAAAATATACAAATGAGAGCACAAAATCAGGAGGAGCTCGAAAAACCTTTTTCTAACTTGATACTATCAGAAAATACACAGATGAATGAACAAAGTCAGGAGAAGCTGATTCCTTTGCTCTTGACATCAGAGAAAAAAACAAAAATTTTGATCTGCAAAATACGGAACATAAATGAACAGAGAATTCACAAAGTTTCTGGAGTTTTTCCGAGTGAATACCTGGTTGGATGGAGACCTGAAGGAACATCTTAAGTAGAGAGCGAGGAGAACACGGAAACTATTACAGTCTCACAGAGAGCCGGCGAAGAGATGCAGAGGGAGAGGAGACCGGCGATGAGACGAGAGATGTAGAGAGAGACGAGACGGTGACAAGAGATTCAGAGAACGAGGTGACCGGCGGCGAGAGATGCAGAGAGTGACAGCTCAGGCGACGGACAGGGAGGATTCGATTCGAGCTTGAGGAAGATGCAGAGAGTGACGGCTCAGGCAACGCAAACCTCAGAAGCGAATGTCGACGGTGGAGGGGACGGCTCAGGCGACGGACACGAAAGAAGCAGAGCTTGGCTTCGGTCGGCAATGGCAGGGTCAGGATGGAGCTGAGTCTGCAGAGATGGAAATATGGTTGTCGACATATTAAACCTTGAACCTAAAATTAACTAATCTAATTTTTATTTAATTCGGTTTAATCGGATAACCGAAACCGATCGGTTATTTACCCGAACCGAACCGATCCGATCGTTTTGCAAAATCCGAACCGATCCGAAAACCGATTAATCGGATCGGTTTTACCCAAACTTGATTAACCCGATCCGATTGCCCACCATGACTCTCTCAGAAATAATATCGTTCATTATCTCGGCAGAACAATGAAAGGAACAAGAGAATTGAAACTCGGCGCTAATGGGAGTGATCGATGGCTCAAAGTTCATGAATCTACATGTTTACCTTGCTATAAGCTTGAAGGGCTTCTCCAGTGAGCCTACAAACCCTCCACTCCTGCATAATAAAAAACAAACCCACAAACATCAAGTACATGATCAAAATTGAAGACAACAGACACAAAGCTCCACGAAGAGACAAACATCTACAGTCAAAATCGTCAAAACCCTTTTGATTTCTCCTTCAATCATCAAGATTACGGTAATGAATTTGGAGGAAGTTTCGCTATGGACTCAGTCATGAGCAACGGTGCAAACTCTCCTTCGCCGAGCAGCCAATACAAGGAGCCACACAAGAACCCATTACTTGATAGTGTTGGATATTGGTAGAATCTCGGTTGTCAGTTCATTGTTCTTGAATCGAAGATGATGAGCAGCGTTTTGACTCAAACCAAATCCGAAAAAACTCATCGTTAGTATATTCCAAAATTTTCCAGATTTAGGGATTTGAAGATTTTGATCGTTGCGTTTTTGAATCTACTGATTCCAATTGAAATGCATCTATAGTGGTGTCGAATGAGAACCAGTAGCAATCACCGAAAACCAACTAGAATCAGACGAACGAGAATCAGATGCAATCGTCGCGGAACGAGGAGCAATCCTCGAAGGAGTCGTTCGTGTATGAAGGAGAAGTAGTTTTGGGCCGTCGAAGGAGTTTCGCACGAGGACTCATCGGAGGAGTCGACAGAAGAATCTCGCGCAGCAGAAGCCGGATGACTTGCCGGAGGAGTCGATGGAGTTTCGACGGAGGAGGAGGATAGAGAGAGAGGGGAGGAGGAATTTTGCACTACAAGAAGTGAGTTTCGATGTAGATGTAGTGTTAAGATTGAAACCCTAATTCTCAATCAGTTTTAATCTGTTAGCTTTTTTGTTTTTGTTTTTTTTTTTAAATCTGGTTCAGTTTAATTTTAACCAGTTAATTAATCCAAACCGGATGAAATTTTTTTTAATTGATTTGATGACGTGTCAGCTTATGTGGCTATTATTGATTATGTGTTATGCCACGTCGTAATTCCGGTGACTCGATTCTGTGGAAATTCATCGTGATTTTAAATCGTGTGGGAAATTGCTAGTAATTTTTTTATTTTGTGTAGGAAAATGGCAAATTTTGAACTTTAAGTGTAGGTTTATTATCAAATTAAATATTTGTGTATTTATTGTACACATTTGAATAAATTGGTCGGAGTTTATGTCATTTTTAATAATAATAATAATAATAATAATAGAAAGATGGAAAAGACGAAAGAGTAATGCGGCTATGGTGGTAGAATGGCATAGTCGGATGCAGCAGGACTAAACCATCTTTTAATTATGAAAACTGCAAATAATTTTGGACTAAACTTTTTAAAAAATATCAGATGCCAAAAAGGAAATATTTCTTAGTGTTATATAATTATTTATAATTTATATAAAATATTTTTATCAAATGATAATATAAAATTTAATTATAATTAATTTAAAATTTTATTTTAAAATCATGTCTTTTTTTATAATTTATATCAAAACGCAATTGTAACCGTGTACAAACATTCATTCCTACTCGAAGTCAATCACAATCGTCACCAACAACCATTTACAACCAATCAGTACCAATCGCTCACAATCGCTAATAAATACTTTGAAAACAATGACACGCGTAATCACAATCGCAACGTTATAACCAGTTGAGTCCAAAATAGTGTTTTGATACTTTAAGTTTTGTTACGGTTGTATTTGACTAGGGTTTAACCAGTTAGTTTCTCAACCGCCATCCACCAAAAATCGCAACCGTTCCTTTGAGGGTGGTAGCGATGCAAACAAATCACCACCTAAATGGGCTTACAAAATGACTTGAATGGGCCGAACTTGGAATATGTAAATATGACATTCCTCCTTTAGACATGCAGGTTAGGTTATTTAACTTCAATATTGGATTGGGTTTCATATATATATATATATATATAACAGAACAATAACCAAATTTAAATTATGTTTGATTCGATTATAATTGAACAATAATCAAACGAAACCTAATTGAACACTAACTCAGAATCGGTCAAATAGGATCCCAATATTTTTTTAGTGTTACTTTTTTTTCTCTCGTGGAAATCAAATACCAACGGTTACAATTTCTTTTTTCTTTACCATTGGTAGAAAAAGAAGGCGGGAAATAATCGGAAATAAAGACAATGGTTTAGTTTTGGTTTGTCCTCGTCTAACTGATCAAGTTACCAAACAAAGGTTATTATCTTACATGATGCACGTGTACGCTTTTGCTTGGACTGGTGGACTTATTATCTATGACTTTTTTTTTTTGTAATGGTATTATCTAATATCTATGACTTTTCACACTGAATTTCAGTTATAAAAGAGTGATTTTTATTTACATTAATATAATCGATTTTCGATACAGCGGGATGTGAAAGAGAATCGATCTAATTACGTTTCGGATTATATAATTAGTAACTTTAAGTAACTAATTTGTATTTTTTTTCTAATGTATTATATATATAGTCTGTTGTAGTATCTGTAACATATCTATTCCATTTTATCGGAGCGAAAAAGTGTTCCATAAAATGGGTCTGATTATTTTTTTTTTTAAGTTAGAACTTTCATTTTGACAAATGGTCCATGTTTGTTAAAATGGTATTTATTTTTACGCACTAATGCAACTACATATATCAAAATTAATTACACATTATTTGATTCTTAAATCAAAATTGTATTATATACACGATTTAAATTAATTTTTAATTGTAAAATCCAATTTTGTATGTCTAAATTATTTATAATAAACAAATTATAGTCGCCGTTATGTATAAATATTTTGTTTTTTAAAAAAGACATCGTGACGCACTGATCTTGTCGAAGAAAAGACAACGCGCTTTCTTTTTTCTCTGCTTTTGTTTTTTTTTTAACTTTCAACAAGGAAACTACATGGATACACTTTATGTTGCAAAGGTTGAATTTGAGCATTACTTTGGTTTAAATCCAATATTTTTTTCTGGAAATCATCTTAGAAATAGTGCATTAAATGCAGATTAACATTTTATATTTATAATAATTTGGTCCACACGAGTAATATTGCAATACAAATATGAATCTAACTTGTATCTGCAGTGAGAAAAGGGGACCATATGAAAAGGCTGCGCGAACACATCCCCATGTGTGCCTCTCGCACGCATAAAATATTACATGTGCATGCACTCTATCTACTTTGAATTTCTAGAGAGAAAAAATAACCAGAGGTCAGGGGTTCGAACCACCCTGGGAATGGAATTATCTTTCATGTCAATCCTTTACCGCTTAGTGCGTTGATCCAGAGACGAATGGGGATTAGTCTGAATGTACAAGGCTTAAAAGTGTTGGTTCAGAGTTGAACGCCGTTCAGGACCACCTCGTGGTATAACAAAAAAAAACATGACAAATTTTGTTTTAACGGATATCAGAACCTTCCTTTTTCGCTTTGCATCCGAGCCATCCGTGTTTTTTTTTTTTTGAAAGAATTAAAACTCAGCCTTCAATTTTTATTTGAAATTCCAACAAAAATAATATGTGTAATATTCATATATATATATATAATTATATTATTTCGAAAATAATATATCGTGATCTGAAATCATAACTAAAGCAGATTTTACGGGAGACAGAAACATAGTGATAGTAAGGTTAGTATAACCAAATTATAATATCACCCCCGCAAACACCATGATTACAAAAAGAAATATCCCAATAACAAAGTTGATTACATGCATGCATCTGTTAAAAAAATTACAAATATATCCTTGCGCATATCCATATGCATGTATATCATGAAACATATAAATAAATGTTCACGTCAAAAGAAATAAATTAATTTCAGAGAATTTATTTATCTCATTCATTAACTGTTTTATCGATTCCGTTAACTCAACCATCAAAACACGTCAGACAGAACACGCGTGTGTATATATATATATATATATATATATATATATCTTTTGCAATGTTGCAGAAGTTTTCCGACAATTAGAACACGTGTTAAAATACGATTGCTTTATTTACCCTTTATATATGAAACTAAATCAAACTAACAACTAAAACGCTTTTATGTGGACTATGATGATCATCATCATCGTCATCGTTATAATCATCATCATCGTCATAATCATCATCATCATGATGACCAAAGAGGATGATCCCACCACGGCATTGAGGAGGTGGTGTTGATGTCGTCCATGCTGTTGTTAGAGTTATAGTCCTCAAGAAAGCCCAAATCATCGATCTCGTCATCACGAGGGCTACTACTCATGAGCTCATCGCCGCTTTCAAAGGAGCTCGGCTCGAGGTTAGAGAGATTGTTTTGTCCTTGTTGTTGGTCCGGTGACGCCGTGTTTGGTCGGTCCGTTTTACAAACCAACAATGCCAACAGATTCGACCGTTGGTGCTGCATGTTCATAATCTCGACTTGTGCCTCGGCAATCTGAGCTCGGAGCTCGATCACTTGCCTTTGCAGATGGTAAATGGAACCCGCGCTTCCGTACACTGGATCTCTTATTCTAGCCCTCGCTTCATATACCATACTGTTCACTGCATCCGTTTTCTGGGATTCGGGAAGCTCCTGATACAGGAAAAATAATACTAATACTAATAATAATAATAAAAGCTACTTGTTGCGGATAAAGTATTTTATCATCATGGAATCCAATACTTTGATTAATGTAGGATTATATATAATATAGTATAAATGCGGCATACTTAAATAGTTTAAGTGACCCTTTTCTATGATAAAATTGCTGGTTTTGATGTTTGACTTAAAAGAAAATTCTACACGACTTTTTCAAAGTTGGATCGATGATAAAGAAGACGTTGAAAGAGACGTTTCGGTTCATACACACAGAGATAATTGTATGTATATATTGATATTTTAGTATACGTATATGCCTCCTTGTGGGGATTATTACCGACACTGTCTAACCATTAGGTCCAATAATTCACATAAATATATGTATATATATAGCATGAAGCTGCACAAAACTTCCCTTTTTCACACTTCGCACTCCTATTTTCAATTAACTTGTTAGAAAACAACATTCTCTAATGGATTAATTATATCATATACTCATTCGATCGTTATCCAAATTAAATCCGAATTTATAACTTTAAAAAAATCTTTTTATTAAAAAAACTCACTATAATACTTTTTTTCTTTTAATAAAATCGCTGTTCTCCACCATTTTATTTTTTCCTCATTACAGTGTATATGCATGTGCATATGTATACACATGCATGCATATATAAATATACACAAATAAACACGTGTGTGAACACACGTGTGAGAAAGAAATAACACACCTGCAAGAACTTGATGATATTGCTGGCGCCAAAGACACGGTGGGCGATGGTGAACTTCGTCGGCTCCGTCGGAGGAAAATACGGCGCCAATACGCATTTATCCGCCACACAACGCCGTCGCAGGATCTTGCAAGCCGCACAGGGGCTCGCCACGACCTGCGTTTGCGTTTGCGTTTGCGGTTGCGATTGGGGTGAAGGTGAAGAGGCAGCGGTAACGGCGGCGGAAGCTGCGACTGAAGTACTGGCGGTGCAAGTGCCACCGCTAATCTCCGTCCTAAGCATGATTAGTTTTATGTTTGTAATCAGAGGTTTTCCTGTGACTTGGGGGGTTACTTGATCGAATTGTAAAGTGCGGGGAGTAAAGTGAGAGATATTATAGAGCTTTCATGTTGAAGTGAGGTACTTTGCCGCGGCAGATATATATTGGGAGCGAGATGCGGTTTCATGGGGCCTAGATGACATCATAACAATGAAATTATGACGTCATATTCTTTGAAATACTTTTCTCCTCGACTGTGCTCCATAAACTTATAAGCGCTTGTTTTCGTTTCACCGGTTTATTGACTGAATTACAATTTCTAAAAAAAAATGTATTTGGTCAACAGTTCATCCGCATTATTGTAGTAATTCATATTTTGAGTTATTATTTTTTTCACATTAATTTTGATTGTTGATTTTTTTTTGTTTTGCAAAACAATATAAGCATTCTATTTTTATTTTATTTTATTTTATGTTGGGTCTTGTTTTAATTAGTGCTATTTCTGATTCTGTTTATATTATAAAATATCTATTTTTTAAAAATAGTTTCATATTCAATTAGAATTTGATCATTCCATTTAAGAAAAATCATATTAATTAATGTTTTTTTAGATCATATTCAATTGATATACAGCTGGATTATTCAATTTCTATCAAATTTATATTCTCGAACCAAAATATCTCTATACGCGTGATCGTGTAATTCGTGAAATATTTTTGAAATTATTTTATACATCGGTTCCAACTAAATGATAAACATAACGAAAACCTATGGTTGATTTTTATACGTAACTAGCTGCCGGGCGTTATTTTTCCTTCGTAGATTTTGTCTTCACTGGCTATCCATTTCATAATTACTTTAGTTAATATAATTAATTCTATTTAATATTCGTAGTTAATTTACTGATAGTGAAACTAACACAAAAAGCCAAATGATATATTGTAGGTTGCCTAATTTTGCCATCTGTTTTTGGTTGTATATACGTATTTCTTTGGGTATTTCTTGGCTGTGCATGACTTTTTTTAAAAAAAAAATAATCACTTTGGAAGTTGTAGGAAAAATCAAAACCATCGAGTTTTAGGTAAGTAATTTTTCCTCGTTATAATAAATTTCAAAAATAAAATTAGGCAATAACAAAAAAAATGGAAAAATATCCATTTCGATTAGACAATAGTTAAATTGAAAAAAAAATATATATGTTTTGACTGTTTGTTGGAAAATATTATAGAAAAAAGACAATTGCGGAGGACTAACACAACAAATACGCCATATTTGAAATTTTATCCTTAATATATCATGTATGATTTCCCATTTTGTGGTAAAATTCCTTACAAGCATGAAATTTTTTGAAACCAAAAAGAATGAGAGAAATTTTGGAACAAATTTTATGTATATTTTACCAACACTATAAGTCTATAACCAACAAAATAGAGAATAGGTAGAATAACGTTAAAACGAAATAAAAAATATAATTATTTTCGTTCTAAAAGGTATAACAAAATAGAGAACAACGGATTTCTAGACATAAAATTAGATGCTGATTTGAAAGTTAAATTGGTTTATGGTTAGTATGAAAATGAAAATATTTCTCCATAAAAACTTTTAAAAAATGTTGATCAGATAAGACCGCGTGATAAAATGTAAGAGGGATACAAAATGAATTTCAATAATAGATCATAATTTATTTGTTTATATTATAATACAGATATTGGAATTAGTTCCACGGCCAACCCAAACTTAGCTTCTAGAAAGGCTCTCTCCAATTTTCTTGGATCCCAATCATACCATATTCCAATTAATCGAAATAAATAAAAAATTCATCGAGCAATTCATGGATATGCAGAATTAAGTTTTTTTATTATATTTCTGACATATTATTTGTTTATCTTAATAAATTTTAGAAACAGTTTCGTTTGAGGTCGCGTAATTTTATATTTTTTTTAAAAATATAAAATGAAACTTATATTATTTTAATGGTATTAATAACCACAATGAAAGAATTTACAACAACATATTATTTCCATAAATTTTATAGGTTTATGCAAATAAAGTATCATTCGTAAACGCAATTTAAATTAGAAAGTATTGTCAAAACATTATAAAATTCGTTCTAAATATAATTTTTATGTGTGCTTCAAATATCCAAACTAGTAAGTACATAATCAATTAGTGATCAATTAATTTCATTTACATTTTAGTAGAAACAAATCAATTAAATTTCATATGTCTTATTTCTCGACATTTTTTCAATTTTTTTTGTATTTCGTGCCCTAAAGAATTTTGAAACGTAACAATGAATAGTATAAATAATAGATATATTATGTCTGAAATTAAATGAGGCACAAAAATTATATTTAAGATCCAAATATAACAATTCGTATTTTCTCCAATTTTGAATGCCCAAACATATGATCCCAGCCGGACCACATGCACGTTTTCCTTCGAATATAAGTAACTAGCATTCAAGTTATCAATATATTTAAAATAATAATTGAAATCGCTATTTTTTTCGAGTTTGATCCTTCACTGGCCAATTTATGATTTTTTTACTTTATGAATTTATGACTTTTTACTTTATTTGCATTCAGAAAATTTAAAAGAAAAATTACTAAAAACGATAAATTAAATATATAACATTTCAAGTTCCTTTGCGGAATCCGATAAACAAATGTATCGCAATTAATTGTTTTCGATAATTAAGATATTTGATTATGTGCAACGATTTGAATATACTTCTTACAATAAATTTTCGGATTATGTTTTTAGAAATTATTCTTCGTCTAGTATATATATATATTTTTTAACATAGGTTAAAAGTACTTGAATTTAAGATGTTCCGAAATCAATAAAGACAAAAAGCACGCGGTCCACGTTGCCAACTACCTGTCGTCCGAAAAGCAGAGAAACGACACGTAGTCAGTACCCGAAAAGCCCCCTAATGGTATTGGAGCCGTCTTCTTTAATAGGTCTGTTGCCACCTTCAGGCTTCAAGACAACGCAATCTCTCTACCCCCATCCTTCAAAATCTCTCCTTTTCTTTTTCTTGTACTCTCTAAAAAAATAAAAATTATTCTCTTCTTCAAATATTATTTACTCTTCATCTATAGCAAAAGTATATTTAAAAAATTGATTGCTACGAGAAACAATATCTATTATTCATTAAATATATTTGACATAAAACATAGATAGAATATTACATAAAAAAACAAATAGTCTCATTATTTTTTATTATCAACGACTATTAAATCTGTAGAATCAATATAGTTGGATAATGTATTCATTGGGGTAAATAACATTTATATAAAATTAAATAAATTTTTGGAATCTGATAATTGGAGAAATGGGTTAATGGGGGACAAAATTTGGATTAGTTTGGTGGGAAATGGTCATCTCATTGGATACATGAGCTGAGAAAGAAAACAAAGGGTTCTTTGATTTTGAAGTACTAACGAAAGTCTTTCAGTTTGCCATTATTAATTTCTAAAAGAAACTTTTTATTTGATAATAGAATTTATAAATGTACTTTATCATAAATAATTTACATAACGTGAAATGCGAATTACTTGTAAACGTAGATATAGATATATAGCAATCTTCATGCATTCTTGCAACGCATAGAAGTTTATAAGACTTGCACATATGGTGGGTCAATGATATTGGACTGTATTTATATTCTCAATTTTATTAAAGCTAATCTTATTTTATTTAAACTAATTAATTTATATTAAATTATTATTAATTTCATGTGTATATATATATATATCCTAATAAAACGACATTAATATTTTCTATATTTTTCATCGTCTTATTATTATTAGTATCGGAAGATATTACGTTCAATAAAACTATAAGAGATTGATACAGTTATTCAAAATTCTATTTTTTGAATACTAATTAGATAAATGAAAACAATATACTAATATTTATGGATTTTCAACTCAACGATGTATTATATATATTAAATGTGTTTCATCTCTTAAGCAATTATTGCTTTGAATGTCTTTCAGATTTTTTATTAAAAAAAAAAGAGAGACCCACACGGAAATGAACCAGCAGTAATGTTGACAGCCAATTTCCCACAAATGAAACCTTGTACTTACAACTCGATTTGTGTGAAAGGGAGGGGATACACAGGATAAGACTACTTGACGATATTATTTGTTTCGATTATTCATCGGTCCAATCTCATAATTAAATTGAAAAACCCATAGTTATATATATGTGGGAAAATTTATCAGACCTGCTATATTGTGAAAAAATCATATATTTTTTAAATTTTCAAATGTGAATGACTACTAAAACTAAAATGCGCAAAAATAAAACGACTTTCACAGTATAATATTATTTCGCCTTACATATTAAAAGTTTACGGGATTCAAAAACCCAAAATAAAAACCATCCTAAACCCAAATAAATGTGTTACGTATATACAAGGGGAGTTCGTGGCTCCTGAGAGAACTTTTCGTCGGGTTGGATATGGGTCGGATACCCTGAGTATTTGGGATATCCAAACTTCGTCTTTATTTTTGCGGGTTTCGAGAAAACATTATCTCGTTTTCGTTTTCGTCAAATCCGGATACTCGTGGTTCGAGTATCCATCGCAGACTTTGATTCTCCGAGGATATCCGAATCCGTCCAATTCTTTAGAAAATGTTGACTTTTGTTGTATTTAAGGATATTTTAATAATTTAATATACAAATATTTTTAATAATTATTGTAAATATATCAAAATATTAAGGATATAATCGTCATTTTATTCGTATCCGGTACCCGAGGATACCCGTCCGTTCAAACAAAACCCGGATTGGAACCCATAATCTAGATTTTTGGCTTCATCAAACTCATTTTCGTCTTCATTATATAGAGAGTATCCATGTTTCGAATACCTATAAGACCGGATACCCGCAAATATGCAGGTTTCAAATACCCACACCCAACCCTACAAATCGTTATCGAGTATAGCCGCTGTTTGGTTACGTCGTTATCCCGGTTTATTCTTATCCCTGCCACATATCTCGGCCTGTTTGGTTGAGGCAGCGCCCAAGTCCAATACATGATGCGCCAAGCTACGACGTCGTATTATACGGTATCCCAATTCATATATTAAAAATATATGGGCCGCTATATTAAAAACATAGGCCGTTATATGAATATCTCTACTCATATGAGGCCCATCGCCTATTGCCGGTGAGTCGGTGACTCGGGTCACAGGCGGAATCGCCGAATCTGAAACGATCGAGATAGGGCGAAGCTTTTTTGAGTTAACCTTATTTTATATATTTTTTCAAAAAATAATTTGGTAAATTTTCATAAACAGGATATTTTTATAATTATATTGGATATTCTTGTATATAGTAAAATGGTAAAAATGCGAATTTAAATCCAATTTATAGATCATTTTAATTTATAAATACGAACTCCAAAAGAAATTATCGATAATGCCTTGATCTACCTGCAAAAAAAAAAAAATCTGATGCAAGTAATGAGTTTAGTTGTATAATAAAAGACATAGGTACATTACGGTTACTATAATTTAGGCCCGATTGCAGGCCCATGGGGGGGGTGGCCTCTGCAAAAACGTAGTACGCATAAACTGCACACAAGCGACTGCTTAACAAAGAAAACGTCAAGCAGTTTTGATAACTGGGAAATTTGTTCGCATTGATCAATAACGGTTACTGGACTATGAAAACGTCACGTCTTCCGCTTCTGAAATATAAAAACATCACGGCGTTTTTGTTTTGCTTTCAACAGTAGAAATTTATTCCTGCAATTTTTTTTCTTAAAGGAAAAAGAAAAAAGGGACCCATCTTTCCGAAGGAGGGGCGAAATGCTCATTTTCCATGGCAGTTGTCGATGAGAAGAAATCTGAACACTGCCTCTGAGATCTTCGACGGAAATAATCAGATCTGATCAGAGATCGCTCTTTAATTCTGTATTCCCGTCGTTTGTTTCTCGGGAAAGTGAGTGAGAAAAGAAGGCGGACAAGCAATGGAAGAGTTCCTGGACAACTTGCCATCGATGGATCTGATGCGGTCGGAGAAGATGACTCTCGTTCAGCTCATCATCCCCGTGGAGTCCGCTCACCGTTCCGTCTCATACCTCGGCGAACTCGGCCTCTTACAGTTCCGCGACGTCAGTGTGAACTCAGATCGGACACCTCTTTTTCAATTTATCGAATCCGTTGCTTCTCTGTTCGCTGTCTTCTGTATGGATGATGAATAATTGGTCGAAAACGGTATTTCATATGTCCGAAGAAGGCTGAGTAGTATCTGTGATGGATCCCGAGCGCTGCGTCACTTCGACGCGAGTGGACTTGCTAGGGAGGATTTAGAGTTTAAATTTCTGGATTTTCTCTTCTTTTGTTTTTGAATTCGAACGGCATTTTCTTGATTTCGTCTTATCTTCGGCTTAATGCATCTCCATTAACGTTAGAATTGGATTTTGTTCACATGTATTGTATTTTTATTGCGGGTTGCTTCATCTGAAGCTTAATGAGTTACTCAGTATTACATATCTCGGGTTTATTGGCAACATTTCGTTGGAAGTATTATGATATGTATAAGAAAGCTGACATTCTCTATCTTCGTTTCTTTGACAGCTTAATGCTGATAAAAGTCCCTTCCAGCGGACATTTGCTAATCAGGTATGAAAACGCCGTTTCCTCTAATTTCATTGCTCCAGATTTCTAGAATACGGAATTGAGATACATAGACAGTATTAGTTGATGCCGGCTTCCATATTATGTTATTTTGATGTGTCGGGGAAAGTAGATTAGTCTGGATTCTTAAATGGAGTTCAGGACAAATTTATCGAACTTTGGTGTGTAGAATCTGGTGAAATCATTTTTAGGGGATGTTCATAAGAATGATCTCCATTGGAATGTTGCCAATTGTCACAAAAGTTTGCACTTGTTTGTTTCTGGGTGTTTCCTTCTTAATAATTCATCGATTTTTGGGGTTTCATCTCATAGTTTGATTCATTTTAGTCTAGTGTTCTTCTTTGAAGCAGAACGAAGTGATGGGGTGTGCTTTTTGGGCTTAATTCAAATTCGTACTAGCCGAAGGTAGCTTAAATTTGGAGAAATAAGTATGACGTGGATGGGATAGTGTTTGATTACTCAATTTCCATGCCAAAAGGTCACTTGGAGTAAAATTTTGACAAGACTGTTACTGATGGTGATGATTAATTCTTGACAGGTAAAACGATGCGGGGAGATGTCGAGGAAGCTGCGATTTTTCAAAGATCAAATTGATAAATCTGATCTAAGGTTATTACCAGGCCATGAACTGGAACCAGACATTGAACTCGAGGATCTGGAGGTTGATGTTCAATTTTCCTTTTTTATTTTCTGACAAGTTTTTGTTTCTATTTTCCTGTAATGGCACGCTGATTTTTGTTTCTATTTTTGAGGAATGAGAGATGTTATTTTCTGAGGATTTCCTTTGTACCTTCTCTTTCTTTGCCAGAGACAACTTGCTGACCATGAACATGAGCTACTGGAAATGAACTCTAACAGTGAAAAGCTTCGGCAGACGTATAATGAACTGTTAGAGTTCAAGATAGTCCTTCAAAAGGTAATTTCCTGTATTATTCTTTCCGTTTTGGACCTCCGAGTCACACATTTAGAACAATCTCCAGCTGACTTTTGCTTGGCGTTGCTGTAGCTAGGAATCATTTTTTTTGGTTGTCTCCTTTAAGCTGCCTGAACATTTCCTGATATTTGAATACAAATTGCATGGTCTTACGATTGTATCTAGGTAACTAGCTTATAACATGTTTCACATATATTACGGCTAGCCCCAGCCATGTAATCATGTTCTACTAGATTCTCACTTCATGTCCTTTTTGGATTCTTGTCCATTTATTTGCCAAGATGCTATGCTTTGGTTGACTTTTTATGCTTATCTTTCTCATATATTGCTATTTTACATTATTTCAGGCTGGCAGTTTCCTTGTCTCAGGTAATGTCCATGCAGCCGGAGACGAAACAGAATTACATGAGAATACTTTCTCAAATAATGGTTATGCCGATACTGCCTCTCTACTTGAGCAGGTTCTTGCTTCTTGAGATTTCTGTGCTTAATGTTGTTCCTTGTTCAAAGCTTGTAGCTGTGCTTCACAGAGAGGAATTATCAATTTTATAGGAAATGAGATCTGGACCTGCAAATCAATCAGGGTTGAGATTTATCAGCGGAATCATTAGCCAAGAAAAAATTCTTAGGTTTGAGAGGATGTTGTTTCGTGCAACAAGAGGCAATATGCTTTTCAACCAAGCACCTGCGGATGAGGAGATCATGGATCCTGCAACAACACAAATGGTTATTCTAGTTATCTTATCTATGTTGATAATATATGTTTCCCATGTATTCTTTGTTATGGAAGAGGTGTCTCTCAGTCATTTTCTTAACAATCTATCAATAACAAGGAAAGAGTTACAATTCAGCATGGTTTGAGGGTGCAACCTTCTATCTAATGATGCACGAGAACAGACTACTATACTTTTCTTCCGAGATGCATATTTTACTGACCTATCTGACTATTGCAGGTGGAGAAAATCGTATTTGTAGTATTCTTTTCTGGGGAACAGGCAAGGACAAAAATATTGAAAATATGTGAAGCATTTGGTGCAAATTGCTATCCTGTGCCAGAGGATACGACAAAGCAGAGGCAACTTACAAGAGAAGTAAGTTGGTTATGCCTCTCCTCATTTATGCTGATTTGCACGTGCGTTGGGTTTATGTTATGTTGACTTTTATCGCAAAGTTATGTTGTTCCTGAGATATCAAGGCTTCTCTGATTTGTAGGTTTTGTCCCGGCTTTCTGATCTGGAAGCCACTCTGGATGCTGGAACACGCCATCGCAATAATGCCCTTACTACTGTAGGGCTCCGTTTGACTAAATGGATGAACATGGTAAGAAATAGCTTCACATCTTCCCTTTTCTAATGTTTTCTGGTTGTGGATGTGTGGAAGATACTTTGGAGCAGCCACGATTGAGGTGTTTCAAATTGCTAGGTTCGGAGAGAAAAAGCTGTCTACGATACACTGAATATGCTAAATTTTGATGTAACCAAGAAATGTCTTGTTGGAGAAGGTTGGTGCCCCACATTCGCTAAAACCCAGGTGTGCTACTGCATTCTTTTTCATCACTCTCGTTTTCCCCCTTATGCAATTGGTGCTTTATAATATATTTGCAAATACAATTCTTCTTTCAATATTCAAACAGATTCAGGAGGTCCTACAACGTGCCACCTTCGACAGCAATTCACAGGTGGGCGTGATATTTCATGTTATGCAAGCGGCTGAATCACCTCCTACTTATTTCAGAACGAACAAGTTTACAAATGCATTCCAGGAGATTATTGATGCTTATGGGTAAGTTCAATCCCGGAGTACCATTGCCATATTCCACGAGAGAAAAACCTCATCCTGTAACTGCAGATTCGTGGTCCATTGTTTTTCATCACTGATGACACATTAATTATTATGAAATAATCAGCTGTTCTTTGCCAACTTTCTCCACTTCTCTTTTTTGTAGATTGGTGAAGTTATTTATCTTTCTTATGACCTTTGCCGACTTATTTTGCAAGCTGTCTCACATTTCATTGAATGATGCTTGTGTGGCAGTGTTGCAAGATATCAAGAGGCAAATCCTGCGGTGTATTCAGTTGTTACGTATCCCTTTCTTTTTGCTGTAATGTTTGGGGATTGGGGTCATGGAATATGCTTGTTGTTAGGAGCTCTGTACCTTCTAGCTCGTGAAAGAAAGCTACGCACACAGGTACGTTTGGCCAGATATGTATAGTAATACTTAGACTGGAAAACCGATGGCCATATTGACTATTAACTTGAGTTGTTTCTCCAGGATTGCCTTAAAAATCTATAAACTTGCAGTGCTAATAGCGATTTCTTACCTTATGGTTTTTGAGCGAGCTGCTTCTGTGTTTACGATGCAGCCTCCTGTGCTCCTCAGTGTGCCATAATTTGGAATTCGTAAACCGTAGTAAATGCATGCTGTTATCCAGTTCCCAAGTTGAGCCCCCCTTTTCCTAGTTTAGAGAATTGGGGAGTTTCAATTGTAAATGGAATTAGTAATGATATTTACATTTTACTGTATAATGAATTCTACTTAAGTGGGCGTCTACATTAACCATATGTTCTCACTTAATTGGTAGTGATTATTGAAGAAAAAACACTTTCTGAGACATGCGTTTCATCAACCTCCTGTTATTCTTTACATCTGATATGATGTTTGTCTTGTCTTTACCAGAAACTTGGTAGCTTTATGGAAATGCTCTTTGGAGGCCGTTATGTACTCCTTCTAATGTCCCTATTTTCGATTTATTGCGGGCTTATCTACAACGAATTCTTCTCAGTTCCTTTCCACATCTTTGGTGGTTCTGCTTACAAGTGTAGAGATACAACCTGTAGGTCTGTATTATTCAGACTTGATGTTTCAAGTGACAAGTGCCTGTTTTTATCATGTTGAGTTATTATAAATATTCATCTTATTTTTCCTCACCAGTGATGCTTATACGGTTGGTTTGGTCATAGGAGCTCTGTACCTTCTAGCTCGTGAAAGAAAGCTAAGCACACAGGTACGTTTGGCCAGATATGTATAGTAATACTTAGACTGGAAAACCGATGGCCATATTGACTATTAACTTGAGTTGTTTCTCCAGGATTGCCTTAAAAATCTATAAACTTGCAGTGCTAATAGCGATTTCTTACCTTATGGTTTTTGAGCGAGCTGCTTCTGTGTTTACGATGCAGCCTCCTGTGCTCCTCAGTGTGCCATAATTTGGAATTCGTAAACCGTAGTAAATGCATGCTGTTATCCAGTTCCCAAGTTGAGCCCCCCTTTTCCTAGTTTAGAGAATTGGGGAGTTTCAATTGTAAATGGAATTAGTAATGATATTTACATTTTACTGTATAATGAATTCTACTTAAGTGGGCGTCTACATTAACCATATGTTCTCACTTAATTGGTAGTGATTATTGAAGAAAAAACACTTTCTGAGACATGCGTTTCATCAACCTCCTGTTATTCTTTACATCTGATATGATGTTTGTCTTGTCTTTACCAGAAACTTGGTAGCTTTATGGAAATGCTCTTTGGAGGCCGTTATGTACTCCTTCTAATGTCCCTATTTTCGATTTATTGCGGGCTTATCTACAACGAATTCTTCTCAGTTCCTTTCCACATCTTTGGTGGTTCTGCTTACAAGTGTAGAGATACAACCTGTAGGTCTGTATTATTCAGACTTGATGTTTCAAGTGACAAGTGCCTGTTTTTATCATGTTGAGTTATTATAAATATTCATCTTATTTTTCCTCACCAGTGATGCTTATACGGTTGGTTTGGTCAAGTACCGTGATGCGTACTCTTTCGGGGTAGATCCTAGTTGGCGTGGGAGTCGGTCAGAACTGCCTTTCCTAAACTCTCTGAAGATGAAGATGTCTATTCTGCTGGGTATTGCCCAGATGAATCTTGGAATCATATTAAGTTTCTTCAATGCACGCTTCTTTGGCTGCTCGTTGGACATAAGGTCTTATCTTTTCTTTTTCTTTTTATCCTAAAAATTGCGGCATGTCCTCCAACTGAGTCCCTTTGGCATATCTCACACCTTTTGCGTTGCAATGGTCAGGTATCAGTTTGTACCTCAGATGATATTTCTGAACAGCCTTTTTGGGTATCTTTCATTGCTCATCATCGTGAAGTGGTGCACGGGTTCTCAAGCAGACTTGTATCACGTGATGATCTACATGTTTCTGAGTCCAACTGATGATCTTGGCGAGAATCAGTTGTTCTGGGGCCAGCGTCCACTTCAGGCACGCGTTTTCTCTCTCTTGTACTCAATACTTTTACTGCTGCCCTTATCCTTCTTGAATTTGACACTCTCTGGGAACTATTCCACAGATTGTGTTGTTGCTTTCGGCATTAGTTGCTGTCCCTTGGATGCTTTTTCCGAAACCCTTCGCCCTGAGAAAGATGTACATGGAGGTAGTAACAGCAGTCGCTTGCACCTGTTTTTTTATATAATTATTTGATGATATCACTGGTGTTCATTTTGCTTAATCAACCGGTTTGGAATTTTGTAGAGATTTCAAGGGCGTGCTTATGGCATACTTGGCACTTCTGAGGTGGATCTCGATGTACAACCGGACTCTGCAAGGGACCAACATCACGATGAGTTTAACTTCAGCGAGATTTTTGTACATCAACTGATCCACTCCATAGAGTTTGTTCTAGGTTCAGTTTCTAACACAGCCTCTTACCTTCGGCTTTGGGCTCTTAGGTAACACCCCCGGATTTTCTTTCTGCTTAGATGCTTACTCCTTACCCGACACTCTTGACCTTCGTCATTGATCTTACAGTTTGGCGCATTCGGAATTGTCAACAGTCTTCTACGAGAAAGTTCTTCTTCTTGCCTGGGGGTAAGTTATTTTCTATACATATTTTCTCTGTATGATTCTTCACCATTCATATTGATATCTAAACCCATTTTGCTCGGAAACAAATCTTGTCTGATAATATATACATTGGAGGGTTCGATAGATCGAGGTAAGAATATTTTTGTGAAGAGATTCACCATTACATGTGTGCCTAATGATTCATGCAGGTACGATAACATTTTCGTTCGATTACTCGGGCTAGTGGTTTTCGCCTTCGCCACTGCCTTCATACTACTGATGATGGAAACGCTGAGCGCATTCCTCCACGCACTGCGTCTTCACTGGGTAGAATTCATGAACAAGTTCTACAGCGGCGACGGCTACAAGTTCAGACCTTTCTCGTTTGCTTTAATTACCGCTGCCGACGATGAGTGAAAAAAAATCCACATTACCATTTTCCACCATATCCCACTTCCCCTAGTAGTTCTCATCAAACATAGAAGAAGAATCGAATGGGACTCTTTCGGAATCACCAATACACCTTTTGTCCCATAGCAAAGGTACATACTCTCCCTTTGCTTCCATTTTTCGAGCTACAGCCCAAAAAAAACGCTTATTTTTAACCAACATAATATGTATACACTACATTCTCTTCAAAGTGGCCTTTCTTTTTACTTGTTTCCAGTTGCAGAGCAATCAGGTTTAGGTAACTCTTTTTTTTTTTTTATAATACACAACCCCGTTGTCATGGATTTTGGCATTTTGCATGTACTTCCCAACACAGACCTCTTTTTTTTTTTTTTTTACTTGTTTTTTTGGGTTCCTTGTAAGAAGCTTGTCGCAGAGAATTCTACTCTTGAAAGACACTATTATTAGTTCGTATATATTTCTCTCTCCAACTGTAAGGAGCCGCGCGTATTTATGTCCGTCGGTTTGTAATGAGAAAATTATCTAGCATATAAAATCGACTGAATATTTATGTCGTCCGGATAGTGGAATTTAGTTCATATGATCACATAAAAAAAAAGTGAGTTCCGATATAGTCGACGGCCAAATTCCGTGGGGCACACGAGGCATGAAGTTTGAGTGCGAGGCAAAACAAACTTCCACGAAACACGTGATGCAAATCGGTTGTTAGTGCCGTTATCTTCTGTTTTTCAGGAACCCTTTCTAACAAATGGAGCAAACTATCTGAATCCAACGACGCTTTTGAAAACTTTGGATTACAATAATTTCCTAAAAAAATATCCTGAGAAACAGCAAAAATATAGATGGAGTTGGGGAACACTCCAACTTCATTTGGTGAAACAATAAGCACCGGGGGATATAGAAAGATGTGGGTGTGACCCTTCTCAAGCGTCGGCGAACCTGGAGTAAATCAACACCGAACCAACAATCAAAACATAGGGACCAGAAATGATGAACCAACCGAGAGATGGTGAAAGTGTATTATTCATACCCGAGCTCAGATAGTTTCAAGTGAGCTTCGGCATAATCGTCAAAGAATGCATCCTCGTCCTGATCACGTAGACGTGGATGACAACCAAGGTGTATAAGAACCGGACAGATAGAGAGAAGAGAGAGGTCGGAGAGCGTGAACAAATACTTTACTTACAGCAGCGTATTTCTCGACGTAAGGATGGAAGACAGGGTCGGACAGAAGAGCTTTGTCAGAGGGAAGCTGAAGAAGCCCTTCCTTCTCTCCGCTAAGCAGTTCCCTGACAAATATCACAATTACAGTTTCAACTCAGATTTCTTAAATAAACGGGTTATGAGGCAAAGCATCAGAAGTTGGTCCTACTTACTTGAAGTAGGAGTTGTCGAAGATGAGAGGGTTAGCAGTCCAGGGTCCCTCGAAACCAGACCTGTCCTTGTGGCACTTCCCCTGCAGAAACCAAAACAGATCAGAAATTGTAGATTTAGACAAATGAGAAACAACTGGAGAGGCCCAAAAGACAGACAGACCAGGGTGTGGCCACCAGAGAGGGCAACAATGTCCTTGTCAGACAGGCCCATCTGCTTGATGAAGACATCCCTCAAGTGGTCAGAGCCCTTGGTTGCGTCTGGAAGACGACCCTCCGGAGGTGGCTCGGGCTTGTCCTGCGGAAAACAACAGGTATGTTAACAACCAAGTAAATACTAGGTAAAAAATCAGTAATGCCCGTAACATGTTTCATCACAACTCGGAAGAGAGGACAAAGCAATGTGGAACATAATAAAACAACATCTGAAGCAGAAATCAAGATAAAATGGAACAGCAGGAAGCCATGACTAACCTCTCTGCCAGGGTGGAAAGGAACTTCAGGACCGCCCGTTACTTCAACAGCAACAACACCAGCAAGCTGATTGGTAGCACGAAACCATATTATAATTTTCCATCAACACCACAAAATCATATTATAATTACAAATTAAAAGTTGTAACAACCAAAATAATTCATCTACAGTGTACCTGGTAGAAATCAGCAAAAGAGATCGTTGGGAACTGCTCCTTGATGGGCTTCAACAAACTAAGGGCAATGTTGATGCCGTTGTTGGCACCGTGAGCTTGCTCGGCAGAGAACCTCATGGTACCGAAGGGACCTCCTGTCTTGGAACAGACGTCAAATGTTCCAGCCGAGTGCCATCTACAGAACAGAACCAAAGCAGTACGTGAATCAGACAAACGCACATAAACTTGAGTAGTATACTTGAGAAAAAAAAGCCCAATGCCCATGGGTATGGTTTCTTACGCGAGACGGAGCATGAGAGGAGCACAGTTCTTCTCAGAAATCAAGCCTCTGAGCTTTCTCTTGCATTTCTCGACGGCCCTCTTGTATTCCTCACTCACAACTGGGTAGCTTTTCGTCATATTAGCAAGGTCTGCGATGGGCAAACAAAATATATGAATCACACGACCAAATAATGCACTACGCGGATTCCACAGGCCAAATCGCTTAAATCCATAAAGAGAACTACTCAACAATGAAGTAGACACATCATCATTCTTAAAAAACTGACAGAAAAAGGCTTGATATTTGACCGAGGTGGCTTCAAATACATGGAGAAGGCACGAACAAGTCTGCCAAAGACTATGGAGCACAAACTGAGAATCTGAATCTACCTGACCCAGAGTGGCAAAGAAACGGATCGTGAACAGAACCGATCGGAGGCAAAAGCTACACGATATTACGACAACACAGCCGCAAGGCTCAAGCACGCCAATACGTGTCAAAACAGTTCCACATTTTCTCACAAACAAGTAGCCAAAAAGTTATCGAGAAAACAGCACAAACGATTGGTCAAACAGGAAAAACTCAAACAAAAACAAGCAAATCGCATCAGAAGAACAGAGATCGGTAGCAAAACAAAATATTTCGACAACTAGGTTCTAAGATCTAATCACAAAAACAGACCCCCATTCAAACAACTGAGATCGAAACTACAAAGCACGAGAGAGAAAACGCACTAGAGATTGGAGACAGAGAGTTGTTTACCTTTCGAGAATCGAAAAGAAGAGAAATGCGAGTGGTTTTTCCAAGAGCGGAGCGGAAGCAGAGCGAGGGGAAGAAGGACGAGTTAGATAGGTATGGACTTTGATGGAGAGACAAATCGAAGTAGGCCGTTGGATGATTTAGATCGTGCGGTCAGTATTCTTCGATACAATCAACGGCTGAGACTTGAGGACCTATCAGCTAAATGAACGGTCCGGATTCGCTAGGTTGCTGACTGGGAAAAGAATAATCATAACGACATTAATATATAATTGACAAAGGTTCTTCTATTGGAGGAAAAACATGCTTTTCATGTGGTGGACCCACCTGCTCCGTCATATCCAACGGTTCTATAATTGAGAAAAAAAAACGAAAATATCATATATCGAAGGCGAAAAGACGTGGGACCCCTTCGAGGGGCTTTTTCGTCATTTAAGGCTGATGTGGATTTGCTTCCCTTTAAATCCACGGATGACATGGCAAATCTGTGTTGTCGTTACTGTTTCTAAAAGCCAATTAAAACATAGCACGTGTGCTTCCGTTACATGATCAGAATTGTTTTTTTTTTTCAATTAAAACAAAATATTTGTGATTTTTATAATAATTCCGTAAATAGTTTGATTTTTTTTGGTAGCGTAAACAATGTGGTGAAGCTTTGTAGCTTTCACTGCTTCAATATTGTGTTCATAATCTTGTCTCACGAAATGCCTCTCTGCCTTTTTCGTGCGTTTAATCATATTCCGAGCCTCCCTTCCAGACGTCGTGTCCTGCATGCTCATCAAAATCATTTTTAAGGGTTGCACCGAATTTCAAATTATCAGTAAATGTATCCCAAATGAATGAGTCGTGCTAAAGGGCTGAACATGTGGAGTGAAACGAAAGGGATCAAAGGTACGTAAGGACCGAACACACACCTTGAGCACGGATCGTGTTGATCTCTGGTCCCTTCAGTTCTGTCCCTTCGTCAACCAGCAATGAAATCCCAGCCGATGTTATATGGAACGGGAAGGCAAGTGGTGGAGACATGGGGGACTTCGCAACTTTGATCATTCTCTGACCTGTGAAAGGAGGAAAAACATTGTGTTCAATCTCTTCGATTCCAACTTCCTTTGCATGATATTGTGAAACTTACCCGAATTGGCTTCAAGAACCAGCCGGATGGTCACAGAATGTGCCCAGTTAACACCTAATGCAGCAACGAGATGAGCATCGTATGTCCTCGTGAGGTCCCGAAAACCATCCACCTGTTGAGCTGGCAAAAATATGATCATCGCTAAATGGGAATTAACTAGAAGTGAATGTTTTAATTGATCGTATCAAAATATGCTTCCAGTCTTTGTGCCTGTACCTTGGAAAGAATACTGGCTAGTTTCGTCACGGTTTTGAGATCTAACTTGATTTGTCACCACAACAGGTATCCGAGAAAATTCAGCAAGCGATCTAAAGACGTCAGAGAACTAGTGTCAATGAGAACAGATGAGAAGATGATCTCATGATAAATTTCTGACAGAGCTGACAAGAGGCTGCAGTTCACACTTTAAGAAAGAAATGTGCCAACCCAACTGATGCTGTCTCCGAGCTCCTGGCTCGTTTTCACTGAAAAGAAGCCACTTGAATTGAATCAGAAGAATAAAAGCCCAAAAAAGAAAGACTTGTTACTAATCGGAGAATGGGAATAAGAATGAAAAAAAAAAGTTAGACTAACCCTGAAAGAAGAGCCGCCATACTATCAATCACTAGAAGTTTCACTTGATTTTGAAGGAGTGAAACCTTGAGTTCCTGGATACTGGTCATTAAAGAAACTATGTATAACTACAGCATGGTGAAATTTCCTAGCTTAATATTTGCTAATTCTTTAAACATCTACGGATGATATTATACTTATATATGCATATAATTATAAATCAAAACCGCTCAAGGTTGGTCACTACAATTTAAATGCCAAGGACCAAATTGAGGGCCAGCTTCATTATAACAATAACACTGGCAGTTTTCTTAGTAGTGCGTGCATTTCAATATTTCCTCCAAGACTACGCTGACAAAGCAAAGGCTAATATTTTACAGACCTTTGAGTGAAGTCAGACAATGACGTTGGTCGCAAAACAAGGATTCTTCCAGCCATCTGCTCTGTGCAAGGTTAGGTAAGGGATGGCGAATATGGTAAGAATTTTACCAGATCAAAGACATGAATATGGAATAAACTTGATAACCCTTCCACAACCTCTTGTGCCATTCGTTTGAGGTGAAATACTTCAGGGAAACTTTTCAGTCCAATCTCAATCATCCTGAAAAAATGTTTCAATTCTACCTCGCTGCTGAGTATCAGTCCAGAACATATGAGACATACCATGGGAACAAGAATCAATTTACCTTCTTGAACTGAATTTAGATTCCACATCAATGTAAACCACTTGGCCGTCTAGTCCTCCATAATTTGTCGGCAATGAGGCTGATAGCGCTAGTTTCATACAAAACTGCATAGCAGAACAGAACCGTTGTCGTACGTAAACATACTAAGATTTTTATGGTAAAACTCTGAAAGTGAATGCACAGAGTACATAATTACAGAACAGATATAGACACGGCTCACTAACAATTTGTGGGACAAAATTCACTGAACCAAGATGATATCTAATTCTAATCCTAGCATTATGACGCTGTTGATGTGTCTGCCGATTTTTGGTGTCACCAATCTCTAGATGTAACTGAACAAGGAAAAGGTATACAGCAGCTACCTGTGATTTTCCGATACCAGATGGGCCAACTAACTCTGTTAAAACGCCAAAAGGTATTCCACCGCATAAGGCTTCATCCAGTCCCTTCAAACGGGTAGGAAGATGACCTGAAAAGTGTTCATTTTCAAGTTTTTGCTGCAGCAGGAACCGAGCCTTTAAACAAATAGATAGCATGTCTCAGGCCATATGCAGCGGAACACTCGGGAGACTAGGAACAGGACACGATGTAAAGGCGCTTACAGATCGGCACGGTGGCGAAACAGCTTCGCTGATGAGTGCAACCGACGATCTTATCTCTGCCAATCCAACATCCAGCAACTCCATTAGCTCAAATTCTGTCATCGACAACGCATCCTGGATCAAGAGTATATATCTAAGAGTCACTGTCCTAATAATTCTTCGACAACCTGTGAATCTCTCATTTTTAATACCGGAACACCCAATCCTAACCCTAAAGAACAAACTAGCAAAACCCTAACAAAATTGCCTAGCAATTCACAATTGAGTAACACCATTAAACATTAAACCTTAACTAGCCAGAATTTCTACGAATCATAAACAGAAATGGAAGCCCTAGTCAACGATATAGAGGCATGCACGCAAAAAGTTAGAAAGGTCTTGTCCGCCAAAATGACGAAACATAAAATCCACGGGAAATAATTGCACATCAAGTCGTCGGAACAAAGCTACAAACTAAAGTTACATTCCGACATTGAAAACGACAGCACACGAATCACGCGAAGACCGACCGAGCGACCGACGCCGCTGATGATACCTTGGCAGTTACGATGTTTCGAGCGGCAAATTTGTTAGCAATCGATTTGTGAAGGCCCATCTCCACAATAAGCTTGTTAGCCATCTCAGCATTCGAAGTCGGAAATCTTCCTCCACCTTCTCCGGCGAGACGTCTCTACTTACTTTCCCGCCTGATATCTTAGGGTTCGAACGCGTTTCGAACCGGGGCAATTGCAGAAATGCCCTTAAATGATACATCTCACTTCAAGTGATACCCTTCCTCAGAAAAAAAAAAAAACGCCAACATCACTCGTACCCTTATAAATGTAGATTCTCAATAATACCCTTTAATTATTTATATAATTATAATATATAAAAATAAATAAATAGAGATCTACTTTTCCGTTTTCTCTCTCTTCATTGCCGTTGTTTCCCGCCTGGCTTCGACATCGCGTTCTCTCTCTTCAATTTCTCTCATTCTCTCTCTCCTTCTCTCTGTTCGAGCTTCTCTTCTCCAGCGCATTTTTGTGGGCAAATTTACTGTAAAAGCAACTGAAATCTCCAAGAATCTCATCCAACAAGCGTAGATCTCGTTAATAGGTAAGTCTTTTTTTTTAATCCGACATATATTTTGGGCATTTAGGGTTTATAGTTTTTCGTGTTAATATTTGATACATATGATATATATGAGTGAAATGTAACATATATATCAGTTAAACTGACCAAATTAATTCGTCAAATTGATGAAACTAGTCATATTCGTCCAACTGGTCCAACTCGTAGAAATGGTCAGACTCGTCAAACCGGTCATACTCCCTAATCTGGTCAAACTGGTCAAACTCGTCAAACTAGTAAAATTTATCTAACCAGTTTTATCATTTTGTGTTTATTTTGTACAGGCATAATGGATGCATGTGATGAAAAAATGACGATTATTTATTATAAGTCTAGTGGCAAGTGGACAATAAATGCGAGTGGGGATTATGAATGGGAAGGAAAAGTTAAAGATGCCAAGGGCGTGATATTCCTTTTTCCTCCGACAGATTTGACATACAAACATCTTGTTGATGAGTTATATTCTGATATGAAGGTGGACAAAGATAAAGCAAATATCCAGTTAAGTTATCTACCGATTATAAAAGGAAACAGTGAGCCGATATACATATCGAATGACAAGCAAGTGTTTATTTATCTCATGGACAAAATAAACGGAGGAAGAAGCATGCTTCACGTGGAGATTGAAACAGTAAATTTGAGAAGACAATGTGGACAAGAATTTGTTGTGCAATACATTCCGGATTCCGTTAGTGGTGTTGGTATTGGTGTTGGACCATATGGGGCTGTGCTTTATGCAGGTTATAATAACAATATGATTCAGAGTCCTGATTTCAAGAGTAAAGGTGCAAGTAATACGATACAACTTATAGATGATTCGGATGATGAGCATATTATTGTTCGAGGAGAAGATGAAATGAATGAAGAACATGCAAATATTTTAAAAGAGGGACATGCAATTGATATGGCATGTGGAACCAACAAAGTTGACTGTGGTGACGAAGATGGTGATGGTGAGAATAAGTTGGCTATGGTAGCTGTGGAGGACACATCGTTTTCTCTTTCAGTATTCAATTTTACGGATGGATTGAATATAAGTATTGGTTATGAGTTTGATAGTAAGGAAGCAGCTCAGGAATATGTACGGAAAGGCGCAGTTAAGGCTTGTTTCGGTTATGCTACAGTGAAATCTGACAAGAAGTTGTGGGAATTAAGATGCAAGTTTTATAAATCGGGCTGTGCTTGGAAGTTACGCATCGCAGCGATTCAGAATTCCGCGCGTTTTAAATAGATAGCATGTCTCAGGCCATATGCAGCGGAACACTCGGGAGACTAGGAACAGGACACGATGTAAAGGCGCTTACAGATCGGCACGGTGGCGAAACAGCTTCGCTGATGAGTGCAACCGACGATCTTATCTCTGCCAATCCAACATCCAGCAACTCCATTAGCTCAAATTCTGTCATCGACAACGCATCCTGGATCAAGAGTATATATCTAAGAGTCACTGTCCTAATAATTCTTCGACAACCTGTGAATCTCTCATTTTTAATACCGGAACACCCAATCCTAACCCTAAAGAACAAACTAGCAAAACCCTAACAAAATTGCCTAGCAATTCACAATTGAGTAACACCATTAAACATTAAACCTTAACTAGCCAGAATTTCTACGAATCATAAACAGAAATGGAAGCCCTAGTCAACGATATAGAGGCATGCACGCAAAAAGTTAGAAAGGTCTTGTCCGCCAAAATGACGAAACATAAAATCCACGGGAAATAATTGCACATCAAGTCGTCGGAACAAAGCTACAAACTAAAGTTACATTCCGACATTGAAAACGACAGCACACGAATCACGCGAAGACCGACCGAGCGACCGACGCCGCTGATGATACCTTGGCAGTTACGATGTTTCGAGCGGCAAATTTGTTAGCAATCGATTTGTGAAGGCCCATCTCCACAATAAGCTTGTTAGCCATCTCAGCATTCGAAGTCGGAAATCTTCCTCCACCTTCTCCGGCGAGACGTCTCTACTTACTTTCCCGCCTGATATCTTAGGGTTCGAACGCGTTTCGAACCGGGGCAATTGCAGAAATGCCCTTAAATGATACATCTCACTTCAAGTGATACCCTTCCTAAAAAAAAAAAACGCCAACATCATTTATACCCTTGTAAATGTAGATTCTCTAAAATACCCTTTAATTATTTATATAATTATAATATATAAAAATAAATAAATATAGATCTCTATTTTTCCGTTTTCTCTCTCTTCTTTGCCGTTGTTTCCCGCCTGGCTTCCACATCGCGTTCTCTCTCTTCAATCTCTCTCCTTCTCTCTCCTTCTCTCTCTTCGAGTTTATCTTCTCCAACGCGTTTTTTTGGGCAAATTTACTGTGAAAAACAATTGAAATCTCCAAGAATCTCATCCAATAAGCGTAGATCTCATTAATAGGTAAGTTTTTTTTTAAATCCGACATATATTTTGGGCATTTAGGGTTTATAGTTTTTCGTGGTAATATTTGATACATATGATATATATGAGTGAAAT